GGCATCCTTGACCGGCCTTGTCTAGTTGAGGCAGATGTGGGAAAAGCTTTTGTGGAAAAGCCCTCAGCATAAGATTTTGGAAAGGGGCTGGGCATTTGCTCGGGAGTTCCCTCTGGAAGTTGCTGTTGTAAAGGAGAGAGCGGCTCCTCAAATGGTCTAGAATCCTCCATCAGGAGCTCACCGGGGCTTTTGGGTGCACTGGGGCTCTTTAGGATCTCTATAGCTGACATGCGATAACTGGAGTCGGACCGACTTCCCTTTTTCAACAGCAGCAATTTGAACTCTTCATTCGAGGTACTGGACTTTTTGGCACTCCTGTAAATTGAACCTGGGGCTCTCTGAGCCCCAGTTTGAGTAGATGGACTTGCAGGCATGTTTGGGGTGCTTGGCGAGGTTGCAGGATCAGTAGCAGAGCCATTCCCAGAAACAACGGCTAAACGGCTCCGCACTGACATTTCTCCAGAATCTTTCCTGCCCAGCATTTTTCGTTTTGACCTGAGATGGCAAAACACAAAACAAGAGACAATAAGCATTTTTTTCGATTTTCAGTACTTTTTCAGACCATCAATATACCAAAATATATACCATAATAAAAAAAATATATACCAGATAAACTTGAAACACACCTGTGAATCATGGCAAAGAGATCTTCTGTTGTGCGACTTTTACTTGGTGAAAGAAAAACGCTATCGTCCTCGGTTTTGGATTCGTCTGTCAGAGGGGACACAGTTGGATCGCTTGGTGTGGACTCTGAAATAGAAACTCTGAAACTCATTCCAATTCAACATGTCTAAAACATTACACAAAATGGAAGTTAGTTTACATCATAAAAGAAATATTACACAAACAAACCTTTGCTAAAATAGTCCTCCGTGTCTGGTGTTGACCCTTCCTCTACATGTTCCTGTGAGGCACTTCTGGTTGGAACACCTGATGTTACAGATTCTTCTCCAGCACCACTGATTGGATAAGCTTGCAATGTCTCTGATCTTTGCTTGACAATATCAGGCACTTGATCAAGACTTTCTGACCTTTTTGCTAGACCATTCTGACCAGGGCTTCCGTCATTTGGCTGAGATTTCAATGGCTTAATTTGCTCTACTTCCAGACTACTCTGGGCAAATAAATTATTTGAGGTGCTCACCTCTTCTGCAACTTCTTGAGAATTCTCAAACGTCACTTCATCCATGTTCAACTGCTCAGACTGGGCCTTAAAAGCAATCATGCTCCAAAGAGGTGATGGGGCTAATCGGTCATATCTATTTCTTGCACCAAAATGGTTTGCTATATTCTTAGCAGCTAGTCCATCTACCGGGGTAAACAGTGATTCACAGTCATCCTGAGAGGAGGTTTCTTTGAGAAGGGGTCTATAGGGTGGAGGCTTCCTAGTTTCATGGAGTTTATTCTGAGTAGGTGGGGTAATGATAGTCACAGTGGGACACTTAGGCCTAGTGGAAATATCAGTTATAGGCCGATCGTGGCTGCCTTCTCCAGATTTGCCAACTGAACGTAGCTGAACTGAACGAAGCACCGTAGGAGTGATGGCCAAAGGACTAGTGACTGCCAGCTCATCACTTGAAACCGAAATTGCCAGACTCTCACGCTTGGTTTCTGCTGAAGCTGCTGCCTTTTGTTTGCTCTGGTGGAGGATGTGCATCTGGTTTTTGTGAATTGAAGGCTTGCTGACATTGGGAAGGGCACTTAGGTCAAGGTGGGAGGGGGGTATGACTGGCAATTCCAAGTCTCTTTTGGATGAGTACTGCAGCAAAGAAGCAAGTGAGGACTTCCTCTCTGGGACTTTGGGTTTCCTTTTGCCACCATTAGGGGACATTGGGTGAGCGTTTGGGAAGAAAGCCAACGGAAGAGATGATGTTGGTGTCTCTGACTGGCTTGAATAGCCACTGGAAGGTGATGCTAGACCTACCAGCTTTTCTGGTGAAGGCAATCTAAACTCACTTTCCACGGATGGTAGTGAAGGAGTGGTGGCCCTAGATCCTGACTGGGAAGTCTGGGATTCAGAGCTCTCCTGTGACTTAATGC